TAATTGTGAAACTTCTACGATAAAGGAACATAAAACATTCAGTGTTTAAACGGAATCTCAAGGATGTTAATTTGGAAACTTCTACGATAAAGGAACATAAAACATTCAGTGTTTAAACGGAATCTCAAGGATGTTAATTTGGAAACTTCTACGATAAAGGAACATAAAACATTCAGTGTTTAAACGGAATCTCAAGGATGTTAATTTGGAAACTTCTACGATAAAGGAACTTGATAATCGATGTTATTGTTAATAATCGAGAAGTAATCTGGAAATGTAAAGATGTATGAATACAGAGCTTAGTAATCCTAATTATTTACTTCTCTGTTAGTAAAGTGTATGCATCCTATTTTACTGTATGCTTTCGTGAAATATAAAATTATATAGCGTTGGTGGTTTTACGTTCTTTAATATATTGCCTGTCCGTGCCTTTTTGTTCGTGTTCAAAGCAAAATATGAACTGCTAGTGTAGTCACATGAAGCGTCCAGATAATTGAATCATTATGATTAAATGACAGCTCTTTGTAAATATTAATTAAAATAAATCAATGTTTTACGTTTACTGTTTTCCACTTTTTCCTTACTTTTACGCAGCTTTCAAAGTTCTCAGGTACAACCAATACGTTATTACAAACTTCAACTTACGTATTAAATAAAATTGGCACAATTATATACCCTTACTAAAGTAATATAAATAAATTGCATAAAGACCAGCTGACGAATAAACACAAAATATGTATTTAAGTTTTTATTCCATATGTTTGATGTGGCGTGACCAGGTGGAAAGAAAATGCGATCTTTGAAATAATTGTAAATACCAATATCATCTCGATGTTTGTTACTAATAGTTTATTAGGAAACACATAATGAAAACCTTTTCGTTTTCCTCCAGTTAAGCACTCATCTTTCAGCGTTTTCTCCAGTTAAGCACTCATCTTTCATCTTTTCTCCAGTTAAGCACTCATCTTTCATCTTTTCCTCCAGTTAAGCACTCGTCTTTCATCTTTTCTCCAGTTAAGCACTCATCTTTCATCTTTTCCTCCAGTTAAGCACTCGTCTTTCATCTTTCCCTCCAGTTAAGCACTCATCTTTCAGCGTTTTCAAATTAGCAAAAGCTATTTCTCAATTATTGGTATTCCTAAGGGTTTGTCAGTGAAGAACCTTGTAATCCTAAGACTAGCAAAGTTCGCTGTGATTCTACCGTGAGTAAAGATATTAATTGTAAGAATATCAAATGGAGTTAATGTGATAACTTAACATTTATTTTTTTAAATTACAAGAATTGTTAACACTTTAACAGGTGAGTTAATAAACAGTAAACGAGTTTGTGTTTAAAATAAAATGGTTTGTCGTTAGATCATATTAAAATAGCTTAGAAAGGATAAAATGAGGAGTTACGTTTGTCATAAAATTTCTCTAAAACAATCTATAACAATATTAAGGCTTTCTGTGGCAATGCATTCGTTTATGACTTACTTTCAACAATGGCTTTCAGAACACAAATTTACATATACTTTTACTAATACTTAACCAGTATTTTTTATTGTTGATGAATTCAATCCTCTCAACTCTGTCCAAACTCAAACAGGAGCTTAAAGAATTTTATATAAGTTTCAATTAGATTTGAGATTTCCTATATGTGAAACTGATTTTCTCACAGAAATGTGCTTAGATGAAAATTAAAATATAAAATACTAAAAGTAGTATGTTGACATAAAGGCTTAGCTCAGCCCTGCTAGACTTAAATAGAGTGGTGAAAAAATAAATTATAACTTTATGGTAAATTTGCCTTTGTTAGAAATAGTGTTCTGTGTTTATATGAAATGGTTTTTACACAAAGTTTAATCTGGTGTAAAAACTGAGTACTTCCGATTCGACATATCCGAAAAAGCTTCGAGTGAAGTCAAGGTATTAAAAAATAAGAAAACTTTAAGGTATATTTTTAGCATTCCAATTCAGGAAAAAGTCCAATTAAAAATATTAAAAGTTACTGCACATTGACTTTGAAATATGTATGAAAACAAAATCTCGTAACTGTTATATGTTTTTGGTCACATTACTAATGTGGTCATCTTTGACCAAATATCGAACGACTTTCTATTTAGCATAGTCTCATTAAGGACGTTGTAGTTACGTGTGCCAGCATAAAAAAAATAGAGACATTATTCTGCAGAATATGAAAACTTGAAATAGTTTCAGAATTGCTGTTTTGAAAGATTAGCGGACGTTTCTAAACGCTCTATACTACAGAGTCGCCCCTGGAAAGTCTGAGAACTCACACAGCTAAAAACCAAGTTTCGATACTCGTGGTAGGCAAAGCACAGATAACCTATTATGTAGCAACAAGAAAACAAACTACTGAATTATTGACTGAAGGACTGTCCACTTAATTTCAGATACAGAACTTTGAATAATCTTGTCGTTAAAATAAAACATGACTCCCAACTTTATCATCCTTTTAAACAAAGGATAACTTGTAATTACCGTCAGCGATAATTTTGTTTGTTTGTTATTAAGCACAAAGCTATACAAAGGACTATCTGTGCTCTGCCCACCACGGGTATCGAAACCCGGTTTCTAGCACTATAAGTCCACAAACATACCACTGGGGGGGCATCAGCGATAATATGGCAAACCCTATTTATCAGTCGTGAACACAGTTGTCAAAATTGATCGTTGTTCCTTTTCAAACACGTGTGTTCAAAACTAACGCGCCCTTTTTCCATGAGTACATAAAGACGTTAAATAAATAACAAAATTTGAATTTTCAACCCGAGTGACTGTCATGATATAAAAGCCTGTTTAGTTTAGATGTTATTGCTTAATTTATTTTTTTGAGTGAATATTCTATTATTATTTAGTTTTTGTTATAAGAAGAGTTAAAAGCAGACGATTGTAGGAGATTTTGTTAATAATCCATTGATTTTGAGAATACAGAACGTCACATACAATACATTGACGTCGAAAATATAGAAGGCGGACAGACGATTAAGTGATAAAGATATAAATAGCGTGAGACAAGCGGGAATAACAGACAGAAGCAGACAGATAATAACGAAAGAGAATAAAGTTAGCGTAAAGTTAAGTATCGTAGAAGTGATAGGCCTAACGTTTAATATGTTAGAGTGAAATTAACAGTAGAAAAGAAGATAAGACAAATAATTTTATTCCGTCAAAGTATGGTTCTAAAGTAATTGAATCAACCTGAGTGCACTTTGACAAAAGGAACAGAAGATGTTCTGAAGAAAGAAGACCAAACGATTAGGATAACTCGCGCCACGATTATAAGTGAATCACAGAGAATACCAGTGCGATAGAAATAGAGAACATAGTTCGACTTGTCAACTGAAATTCTGAAGTAATTGAATAGGTCTAAGTGGACATTTGACAAGAAGGACAGAACTACATATATAGTATTTATGATATGCCCATAATATCTATGATATTGAAGAATTTATTGTACATACGTTAACTGGTTCTGAATATATATATATTGTTACGTCTCTG